AGTGTTTTGTTAAGTGCCACTGAATCAGTTCCAACTCACAGCAACTCTGTATAGGGCTTCCAAGGAGCACTGGTGGGTTTGAACCACTGACCAGGTGGTTAGCAGTCTATTGCTTAGGCTACAGCGCCACTCCAGGACTAAACACCACTGATTTTAGATGTAACAAAAATACAGAATGGACATAGCATGGGTTGCTTTTTTTTTCTTCTTCTTCTTCTGGAAAACAAAGCTATTTATAAAATACCTTAAAATTCTTTCAGAAAATTTAAACTTCTAGGCACATATAATATTAACTAAAAACTCATCATAGGGTTTTCTCATGAAACTAAATTTTGTCTTGGGAACTTGCTGGACAAAATAAATACATATTGGAAACAATAAAAACAAGCTAATTGTACATCAAAACTTCCATTCTTTTGTTAAAGATTTAAAACCAAATGACTGATATTTTTATTTCTCAAAATGATGTAACTTTAACAACGAATCATATGAGATCAAAAGAACAGCATTTACCCAGGTACACAGCTCACAAGGCATGAAGGCACAGGAAAGGCTAAACAGAATTGGTACACACAGAGAGGAAGTACGAAGAGTGCTGCTATATCATGAGGGTTGTATTCAACGTCACCAATCAAAAATGAGTATGAATTTATTGAATGACGTTTGCTCTGTAAACTTTCACTCAAATCACAATAAAAAGTTAAAACAAAACAGACAACCCTTCCGCTAAATTTTACGCTTAAAAAAGTGTGGGCCTATTTGAAAAGATCATAATTTGTGTAGTACATTTAGAGACTGGCTACTCTTTGCTCTCCTCTGTACATAAAAAGTCCTCTAGTAATTATGTTTTAAGGAAAACAGAATGTACATGTCTCTAATTCATTTACATTTAAATGTTAATAATATTGTGCAAAAGGTTGTTGATATCCAAAATAGTTTTCTGATTAATATTTTAGTACCAAGGACCTGAATTTGGCCCATTATAAGTTATTTTGAGCCCACCCTTCTACTCTCCCTTCAATGTACAAGTGCTGAATTAAGCATATCAAACCAACTGCCATCAAGTGGATTTGGATTCACAGCAACCCTATATAAGGTTTCCAAGATTATAAATTCTTACAAGAGCAGGCAGCTGTAGAGCAAATGGTAGGTTTGAACTACTGAGCTTGTAGTTAGCAGCCCAATGACTAAAACACAGTGCCACCAAGCCTCCTTAAATTTAAACATGGTGGTGGTAGTTTACCAGTAAGTTGGTTCCAACTCATAGCAACCCTGTATAGGGTTTCCAAGGCAGTAAAACTTTATGGGGGCAAAAAGCCTCATATTTCTCCCAAGGAACGGCAGGTGGATTCAAAGTGTTCATCTTTCAGATA